TTAGGTTAGATGTTTAGGTTCTGTTGGCGATTATTTGTATTTGTAGTACGTGGGTGAACCATTTACAGCGTTGTGGCTCGAACAAAATTCGTAAGTGAAGCACTTGTTCCGGAAGTGTTCGAACGAAATCAGTTGTGAACAAATCCACAAGGGCCGTGATGAGGATTCTAACCTGCGTCCGAGAGCATCCCAGACGCTGTCTTAATCGACTGAGCTACGACATGGTCAGTTGATGCATCACATTATTGTGATTTCTGTGTGTAAATCAGTTGTGAGTCGTATGTAAACCGTCTTTCATGCATAAACAGCGGGTTTGGCGGGTGGATGGAATGGACTTTTGGGTCTTTGTTTGGAGGACGGGCTGGGTTTCCGAGACCCTTCACTCTGCATCCGGCACTGTTGGGATTCGATCCATCAAAGAGGAGGAGCCGGAAGGGCCAGACATCAGGGAAGCCGGAAGTCTGGCTGGAATTATGAGTCAGAAACAAGCAATTAGTCCCCAAGCCTGAGTACACATGGTTAAGGACCTGTATTATGATAACGGGTTTGGTAATTGGAGTTAATGAAGATGTTTAACGGTAGAATTAACGTTAAAGAAGATTAACGTTAATTAAACGCCGAAGATTAACGAGAAAGATGAATATAATTAATTCAAAGGAGTAAATAGTGTTAATAAATTAATGTTCACTGAACAATGCACCTTAGCCTACCCCCCCCCCCAATTTAGGGATAGTTATGAACCTAATAGTTCACCGTCACTAGAACCATTTACGCCCTCTAGCTTCACCGTGACTGGAACCTCCAACCACACTATCCCACTAAGACTAACAGACAGTCATGGCTACACCACCTAGCCATATATATCACAGCCGTGTTATTGTTGTTGTTATAGATTCAGCTACTCGGAACAGGTTCCAAGTAGCACGGGCTATGGTGAGCCCGTAGTGGACTTACCTGGCACAGGAGCGGGGTAAGTAGCACGGGCTATGGTGAGCCCGTAGTGGACTTACCTGGCACAGGAGCGGGGTAAGTAGCACGGGCTATGGTGAGCCCGTAGTGGACTTACCTGACACAGGAGCGGGGCAAGTAGCACGGGCTATGGTAAGCCCGTAGTGGACTTACCTGACACAGGAGCGGGGCAAGTAGCTCGGGCTATGGTGAGCCCGTAGTGGACTTACCTGACACAGGAGCGGTGCTGAGGTCAACGGCGTAAAAGATCCATGTTCCATTTCAGGAATTTTCCCGAATTTTCGAACTCCTAGACAGAGTCGGAGCAGAGCTGATTGATTTTTATTCCAATCACTCCGGAAGGGGGGGGGGGAATAGGACGACGCTCGTGTTAGTAAACCATCAGTCAAGGTATACAAGGTATACCATTTTAGTATCCCCTTCCAGGAAACTACCCTGAAACAGAAGCTGACGCATTTCTAACTAAATTATTCAGTCAGCACCCTTGTCAGGAGCAGAATTAACACCTTCACAAGATCCCCTACGCGCCCCAAGCCACGTGTAGCCCACTGCGACACGGAGTGCGTGGCGGAGAGAACGTCCAGCAACAGAGATACGAATAGTTACGAATTTAACTACCGTGAAGGTCTGGTGCAACACGAACAACCCAGGTCGGTGTGACACAGACCAGGAGAAACATACTATCAGTCGTCACGAACAGACCAAGAGAAATATACTATTAATCCAAGACAATCCTCACGAACTTCCTGGACATGAAACTCATCATCAGAGAGCTGGATAACCTTAATCTCATCTCTGGAACTGGACGAGAGCATCGAACCTGTACCCTAGGTTTACATAGACACGGATGCTGTTCCATCCCGCCATGCTGCTCCAAAGATTATCTCATAGGTATATAAATTACAATTTTTTTGTCTAATAGAATCAATTCTCTTTCTAGAATCTGTATCCATCATGCGTGCCTGACAGCTGAGTGAACAGCGCTTCGGATTCGTAGTCCTGAGGTTCTGGGTTCGATCCCCGGTGGAGGCGAAGATAAATGGGCAAAATGTTTCTTTCACCCTGTTATCTAGCAGTAAATAGGTACCTGGGAGTTAGACAGCTGCTACGGGCTACTTCCTGGAGGTGTGTAACAAAAAGGAGGGGGGATGCTGGTGGAAACAGGAGGAGGATAAGTCAGCGCGTCAGGGGCTGACCCCACCATCTCCCCAACAACCATGTATCTCTGCCATAAACGACAATTCCGAGTTCGATTCCGGGAGAATCAAACTCTGAAATCCCCGATTATAAACCGAAAAACATCCAACTGAACTACGAGATCAAACAAAGGAACCAATGACATTTGAACTGTGATGCTATTAATCCTACGCGTGAAAGAACGATTGTAATTTCACACCACCTTTATTGGAATGTTTTTAACCCTTCAGAAGAGAAGGGGTCTCGATCCTATAAATATGGATGCCAAGGCTTAGTCGAGGAACAGATAGGGTTCTCATTCTCCCCTCGACTGTGCCTGGGGGAGCTTGCGTAAAACTGACGCGATTTTTTTTTTTTTTTACAAGAATGTAAAACCATCAATGCTTTGTACTCTTAAAAACCCAATGTACTTTCTTGTATATAAATAGATAAATAAATAATAAATAAAGTTAAATTTCTCGTCGATTATATGACCCTTAAGGATAAGCTGAACAATTATAGATCAGAATATGTATATATATATATATATATATATATATATATATATATATATATATATATATATGAATGAAAACTCACACCCCAGAAGTGACTCGAACCCATACTCCCAGAAGCAAAGCAACTGGTAACTAACTTCTGGGAGTATGGGTTCGAGTCACTTCTGGGGTGTGAGTTTTCATTCGCATATATATATATATATATATATATATATATATATATATATATATATATATATATATATATATATATATATATATATATATATATATCAGGTCACGACTTGATCGAGATTAATTGATTAAAATCACTGCTGATGTCAATGAGGCAAACTCTTGTATATTATTTTTTACAATAAAAATACAACAATTAACCTATCAAAATACAAAACTGTATGAATGTTTTTCCAAATGAAAAATTGTGCACTAAACAAACGACGTGTATTTGTGTCTGTTTTATTTGTTTGTTGCGTAAAAATATTCCCCTAACAAGATTAATGTTGAGCAAATTTTGATGCCAGTAACGAGGTCAGTGCCATAGTGACTTTGGTGGCACAGTGACTTTGGTGGCACAGTGGCGTTGGTGCCATAGTGACGTTGGTGCCATAGTGACGTTGGTGCCATAGTGACTTTGGTGGCACAGTGACGTTGGTGCCATAGTGACTTTGGTGGCACAGTGGCGTTGGTGCCATAGTGACGTTGGTGGCACAGTGACGTTGGTGCCATAGTGACGTTGGTGCCATAGTGACGTTGGTGGTACAGTGGCGTTGGTGCCATAGTGACGTTGGTGGCACAGTGACGTTGGTGCCATAGTGACGTTGGTGCCATAGTGACGTTGGTGGTACAGTGGCGTTGGTGCCATAGTGACGTTGGTGGCACAGTGACGTTGGTGCCATAGTGACGTTGGTGGCACAGTGACGTTGGTGCCATAGTGACGTTGGTGGCACAGTGACGTTGGTGGCACAGTGACTTTGGTGCCATAGTGACGTTGGTGGCACAGTGGCGTTGGTGCCATAGTGGCGTTGGTGGCACAGTGACGTTGGTGCCATAGTGACGTTGGTGGCACAGTGACGTTGGTGCCATAGTGACGTTGGTGGCACAGTGACGTTGGTGCCACAGTGACGTTGGTGGCAGAGTGACGTTGGTGCCATAGTGACATTGGTGCCACAGTGACGTTGGTGGCACAGTGACGTTGGTGCCATAGTGACGTTGGTGGCACAGTGACGTTGGTGCCACAGTGACGTTGGTGGCACAGTGACGTTGGTGCCATAGTGACGTTGGTGGCACAGTGACGTTGGTGGCACAGTGACGTTGGTGCCATAGTGACGTTGGTGGCACAGTGACGTTGGTGCCATAGTGACGTTGGTGCCATAGTGACGTTGGTGGCACAGTGACGTTGGTGCCATAGTGACGTTGGTGCCATAGTGACGTTGGTGGCACAGTGACGTTGGTGCCATAGTGACGTTGGTGGCACAGTGGCGTTGGTGGCACAGTGACGTTGGTGCCATAGTGACGTTGGTGGCACAGTGACGTTGGTGCCATAGTGACGTTGGTGGCACAGTGGCGTTGGTGCCATAGTGACGTTGGTGGCACAGTGACGTTGGTGCCATAGTGACGTTGGTGCCATAGTGACGTTGGTGGTACAGTGGCGTTGGTGCCATAGTGACGTTGGTGGCACAGTGACGTTGGTGCCATAGTGACGTTGGTGCCATAGTGACGTTGGTGGTACAGTGGCGTTGGTGCCATAGTGACGTTGGTGGCACAGTGACGTTGGTGCCATAGTGACGTTGGTGGCACAGTGACGTTGGTGCCATAGTGACGTTGGTGGCACAGTGACGTTGGTGGCACAGTGACTTTGGTGCCATAGTGACGTTGGTGGCACAGTGGCGTTGGTGCCATAGTGGCGTTGGTGGCACAGTGACGTTGGTGCCATAGTGACGTTGGTGGCACAGTGACGTTGGTGCCATAGTGACGTTGGTGGCACAGTGACGTTGGTGCCACAGTGACGTTGGTGGCAGAGTGACGTTGGTGCCATAGTGACATTGGTGCCACAGTGACGTTGGTGGCACAGTGACGTTGGTGCCATAGTGACGTTGGTGGCACAGTGACGTTGGTGCCACAGTGACGTTGGTGGCACAGTGACGTTGGTGCCATAGTGACGTTGGTGGCACAGTGACGTTGGTGGCACAGTGACGTTGGTGCCATAGTGACGTTGGTGGCACAGTGACGTTGGTGCCATAGTGACGTTGGTGCCATAGTGACGTTGGTGGCACAGTGACGTTGGTGCCATAGTGACGTTGGTGCCATAGTGACGTTGGTGGCACAGTGACGTTGGTGCTATAGTGACGTTGGTGGCACAGTGGCGTTGGTGGCACAGTGACGTTGGTGCCATAGTGACGTTGGTGGCACAGTGACGTTGGTGCCATAGTGACGTTGGTGCCATAGTGACGTTGGTGGCACAGTGGCGTTGGTGGCACAGTGGCGTTGGTGCCATAGTGACGTTGGTGGCACAGTGACGTTGGTGCCATAGTGACGTTGGTGGCACAGTGACGTTGGTGCCACAGTGACGTTGGTGCCACAGTGACGTTGGTGCCATAGTGACGTTGGTGCCACAGTGACGTTGGTGCCACAGTGACTTTGGTGCCATAGTGACATTGGTGCCATAGTAACGTTGGTGCCATAGTGACTTTGGTGGCACAGTGGCGTTGGTGCCATAGTGACATTGGTGCCATAGTGACATTGGTGCCATAGTGACTTTGGTGCCATAGTGACGTTGGTGCCATAGTGACGTTGGTGCCATAGTGACTTTGGTGGCACAGTGGCGTTGGTGCCATAGTGACATTGGTGCCATAGTGACATTGGTGCCATAGTGACGTTGGTGCCATAGTGACGTTGGTGCCATAGTGACGTTGGTGCCATAGTGACGTTGGTGCCATAGTGACTTTGGTGGCACAGTGGCGTTGGTGCCATAGTGACATTGGTGCCATAGTGACATTGGTGCCATAGTGACGTTGGTGCCATAGTGACTTTGGTGCCATAGTGACATTGGTGCCATAGTAACGTTGGTGCCATAGTGACTTTGGTGCCATAGTGACATTGGTGCCATAGTGACGTTGGTGCCATAATGACGTTGGTGCCATAGTGACGTTGGTGCCATAGTGACGTTGGTGCCATAGTGACGTTGGTGCCATAGTGACTTTGGTGCCATAGTGACGTTGGTGCCATAGTGACGTTGGTGCCATAGTGACTTTGGTGCCATAGTGACGTTGGTGCCATAGTGACTTTGGTGCCATAGTGATATTGGTGCCATAGTGACATTGGTGCCATAGTGACTTTGGTGCCATAGTGACATTGGTGCCATAGTGACGTTGGTGCAATAGTGACGTTGGTGCCATAGTGACGTTGGTGCCACAGTGACGTTGGTGCCACAGTGACGTTGGTGCCACAGTGATGTTGGTGCCACAGTGACGTTGATGCAACAGTGACGTTGGTGCCATAGTGACGTTGGTGCCATAGTGACGTTGGTGCCACAGTGACGTTGGCCAGTGACGTTGGTGCCACAGTGACGTTGGTGCCACAGTGACGTTGGTGCCACAGTGACGTTGGTGCCACAGTGACGTTGGTGCCACAGTGACGTTGGTGCCATAGTGACATTGGTGCCATAGTGACGTTGGTGGCACAGTGACGTTGGTGCCATAGTGACGTTGGTGGCACAGTGACGGTGGCACAGTGACGTTAGTGCCATAGTGACGTTGGTGCCATAGTGACGTTGGTGCCACAGTGACGTTGGTGCCATAGTGACGTTGGTGGCACAGTGACGTTAGTGCCACAGTGACGTTGGTGCCACAGTGACATTAGTGCCACAGTGACGTTGGTGCCACAGTGACGTTGGTGCCACAGTGACGTTGGTGCCACAGTGACGTTGGTGCCATAGTGACGTTGGTGCCACAGTGACGTTGGTGCCACAGTGACGTTGGTGCCACAGTGACGTTGGTGGCACAGTGACGTTGGTGCCATAGTGACGTTGGTGCCACAGTGACGTTGGTGGCACAGTGACGTTGGTGGCACAGTGACGTTGGTGCCATAGTAACGTTGGTGGCACAGTGACATTGGTGGCACAGTGACGTTGGTGTCACAGTGACGTTGGTGCCACAGTGACGTTGGTGCCACAGTGACGTTGGTGGCACAGTGACGTTGGTGGCACAGTGACGTTGGTGCCACAGTGACGTTGGTGCGACAGTGACGTTGGTGCCACAGTGACGTTGGTGGCACAGTGACGTTGGTGCCACAGTGACGTTGGTGCCACAGTGACGTTGGTGGCACAGTGACGTTGGTGGCACAGTGACATTGGTGCCATAGTGACGTTGGTGGCACAGTGACGTTGGTGGCACAGTGACGTTGGTGCCATAGTGACGTTGGTGGCACAGTGACGTTGGTGGCACAGTGACGTTGGTGCCATAGTGACGTTGGTGGTACAGTGACGTTGGTGCCATAGTGACGTTGGTGGCACAGTGACGTTGGTGCCACAGTGAAGTTGGTGCCACAGTGACGTTGGTGCCACAGTGACGTTGGTGGCACAGTGACGTTGGTGGCACAGTGACGTTGGTGCCATAGTGACGTTGGTGGCACAGTGACATTGGTGCCATAGTGACGTTGGTGGCACAGTGATGTTAGTGCCACAGTGACGTTGGTGCCACAGTGACGTTGGTGCCACAGTGACGTTGGTGCCACAGTGACGTTGGTGCCATAGTGACTTTGGTGCCATAGTGACGTTGGTGGCACAGTGACGTTGGTGGCACAGTGACGTTGGTGCCATACCTACCTTGAGGCTACCTTGAGGTGCTTCCGGGGCTTAGTGTCCCCGCGGCCCGGTCGTCGACCAGGCCTCCTGGTTGCTGGACTGATCAACCAGGCTGTTAGACGCGGCTGCTCGCAGCCTGACGTATGAGTCACAGCCTGGTTGATCAGGTATCCTTTGGAGGTGCTTATCCAGTTCTCTCTTGAACACTGTGAGGGGTTTGCCAGTTATGCCCCTTATGTGTAGTGGAAGCGTGTTGAACAGTCTCGGGCCTCTGATGTTGATAGAGTTCTCTCTCAGAGTACCTGTTGCACCTCTGCTTTTCAACGGGGGTATTCTGCACATCCTGCCATGTCTTCTGGTCTCATGTGGTGTTATTTCTGTGTGCAGGTTTGGGACCAGCCCCTCAATTATTTTCCACTCGCCATAGTGACGTTGGTGGCACAGTGACGTTGGTGCCACAGTGACGTTGGTGCCACAGTGACGTTGGTGCCATAGTGACTTTGGTGCCATAGTGACGTTGGTGCCACAGTGACGTTGGTGCCATAGTGACGTTGGTGCCATAGTGACTTTGGTGCCATAGTGGCGTTGGTGCCACAGTGACGTTGGTGCTATAGTGACGTTGGTGCTATAGTGACGTTAGCGCCATAGTGACGTTGGTGCCATAGTGACTTTGGTGCCACAGTGACGTTGGTGCCATAGTGACGTTGATGCCATAGTGACGTTGGTGCCACAGTGACGTTGGTGCCACAGTGACGTTGGTGCCATAGTGACGTTGGTCACTGTGGCACCCCCTCTGTTGGTCCTCATCCACCCCCTCTGTTGGTCCTCATCCACCCCCTCTGTTGGTCCTCATCCACTCCCTCTGTTGGTCCTCATCCACCCCGTCTGTTGATCCGTCATCATCCACCCCTTCTGTTGGTCCTTATCCACCCCCTCTGTTGGTCCTCATCCACCCCCTCTGTTGATCCGTCATCATCCACCCCTTCTGTTGGTCCTCATCCACCCCCTCTGTTGGTCCTCATCCACCCCCTCTGTTGATCCGTCATCATCCACCCCTTCTGTTGGTCCTCATCCACCCCCTCTGTTGGTTCTCATCCACCCCCTCTGTTGGTCCTCATTCACCCCCTCTGTTGGTCCTCATCCACTCCCTCTGTTGGTCCTCATCCACCCCCTCTGGTCCTCATCCACTCCCTCTGTTGGTCCTCATCCACTCCCTCTGTTGGTCCTCATCCACCCCCTCTGTTGGTCCTCATCCACCCCCTCTGGTCCTCATCCACTCCCTCTGTTGATCCTCACCCACCCCCTCTGTTGGTCCTCATCCACCCCCTCTGTTGGTCCTCATCCACCCCTCTGTGGATCCTCACCCACCCCCTCTGTTGGTCCTCATCCACTCCCTCTGTTGATCCTCACCCACCCCCTCTGTTGGTCCTCATCCACCCCCTCTGTTGGTCCTCATCCACCCCCCCTCTGTTGGTCCTCATCCACCCCCTCTGGTGGTCCTCATCCTCCCCCTCTGTTAGTCCTCATCCACCCCCTTCTGTTGATCCATCATCATCCACTCCCTCTGTTGGTCTTCATCCACCCCCTCTGTTGGTCCTCATCCACTCTGTTGGTCCTCATCCACCCCCTCTGTTGGTCCTCATCCACCCCCTCTGTTGGTCCTCATCCACCCCCTCTGTTGGTCCTCATCCACCCCCTCTGTGGGTCCTTATCCACCCCTTCTGTTGATCCATCATCATCCACCCCCTCTGATGGTCCTCATCTACCCCCCTCTGTTGGTCCTCATCCACTCCCTCTGTTGGTCCTCATCCACCCCGTCTGTTGATCCGTCATCATCCACCCCTTCTGTTGGTCCTTATCCACCCCCTCTGTTGGTCCTCATCCACCCCCTCTGTTGATCCGTCATCATCCACCCCTTCTGTTGGTCCTCATCCACCCCCTCTGTTGGTCCTCATCCACCCCCTCTGTTGATCCGTCATCATCCACCCCTTCTGTTGGTCCTCATCCACCCCCTCTGTTGGTTCTCATCCACCCCCTCTGTTGGTCCTCATTCACCCCCTCTGTTGGTCCTCATCCACCCCCTCTGGTCCTCATCCACTCCCTCTGTTGGTCCTCATCCACTCCCTCTGTTGGTCCTCATCCACCCCTCTGGTCCTCATCCACTCCCTCTGTTGGTCCTCATCCACTCCCTCTGTTGGTCCTCATCCACCCCCTCTGTTGGTCCTCATCCACCCCCTCTGGTCCTCATCCACTCCCTCTGTTGATCCTCACCCACCCCCTCTGTTGGTCCTCATCCACCCCCTCTGTTGGTCCTCATCCACCCCCTCTGTGGATCCTCACCCACCCCCTCTGTTGGTCCTCATCCACTCCCTCTGTTGATCCTCACCCACCCCCTCTGTTGGTCCTCATCCACCCCCTCTGTTGGTCCTCATCCACCCCCCCTCTGTTGGTCCTCATCCACCCCCTCTGGTGGTCCTCATCCTCCCCCTCTGTTAGTCCTCATCCACCCCCTTCTGTTGATCCATCATCATCCACTCCCTCTGTTGGTCTTCATCCACCCCCTCTGTTGGTCCTCATCCACTCTGTTGGTCCTCATCCACCCCCTCTGTTGGTCCTCATCCACCCCCTCTGTTGGTCCTCATCCACCCCCTCTGTTGGTCCTCATCCACCCCCTCTGTGGGTCCTTATCCACCCCTTCTGTTGATCCATCATCATCCACCCCCTCTGATGGTCCTCATCTACCCCCCTCTGTTGGTTCTCATCCACCCCCTCTGTTGGTCCTCATCCACCCCTTCTGTTGATCCATCATCATCCACCCCCCTCTGTGGGTCTTCATCCACCCCTTCTGTTGATCCATCATCATCCACCCCCTCTGTTGGTCATCATCCACCCCCCTCTGTTGGTCCTCATCCACCTCCCTCTGTGGGTCCTCATCCACCCCCCTCTGTTGATCCATCATCATCCACCCCCTCTGAGGGTCCTCATCCACCCCCTCTGTTGGTCCTCATCCACCCCTTCTGTTCATCCATCATCATCCACCCCCTCTGTTGGTCCTCATCCACCCCCCTTCTGTTGGTCCTCGTCCACCCCTTCTGTTGATCCATCATCATCCACCCCCTCTGTTGGTCCTCATCCATCCCCCTCTGTTGGTCCTCATCCACCCCCTCTGTTGATCCTCATCCACCCCCTCTGTTGGTCCTCATCCACCCCTTCTGTTGATCCATCATCATCCACCCCCTCTGTGGGTCCTCATCCACCCCCCTCTGTTGATCCATCATCATCCACCCCCTCTGTTGGTCGTCATCCACCCCGCTCTGTTGGTCCTCATCCACCCCCTCTGTTGATCCATCATCATCCACCCCCTCTGTTGGTCCTTACAACGCCTGATGCTATATTTTAAAGAGAGATATGTTGTGTTTCTGGGTTGAAGGGATTGGGACGAGTTGAGGACGCGTCATCCGCTCCTGGGAACACTTCCCCTCGCCTGTGACGTCACTGACCTTTGTTCGAACTATTAACGATGGCTTCGGTTCTCTTGAGAGGTAGAGATTATGGTGAGGGTCGTAACTATGAAGGATTACCTTGAGTACGTGGCGTAATGCTCTTTGGTGACGTTGAAACAGTAATGTGGAGGGACTGAGATTCACGAAGTAGTTACGCAAGCACTTACGAACGTGTACATCTTTCCTCAATCTTTGACGGCTTTGGTTATATTTATTAAATAGTTTACAAGCATGAAAATTTGTCAATTAACTGTTGTTATTGTTATAAACAGCCTCCTGGTGCTTCGGAGCTCATTAACTGTTTAATAATTGTAAACAAACTCGCCAAAAATTGAGAAAAGATGTACAGCTTCGTAAGT